GATACATCATTAGAAAGAGCATAAAAAACTAAGAATTTTGGCGCAAACCGCAAATCAACATCTTAATTTTTGACTGAGTTACGATAGGTCAAAGGTCAAATTTGACCTATTTTCAAAAAATCATATCTCCGGTTCAATTTATTGTAAAGAAAAAATAAAACGGGAAAATTTACCAAATTGTAAGCACTTCAAGTAAAAATCACAGAAATTACTTCAAACTAATTTTAAGGGGTGTTTCGGACCCCCAAATACGTCATTTTAAAGGTCATACGATATTCTCGCGAAATGAGCCAATTTCCCCTTACTTTTCCTCAACATTATCTTGGTAAGTTCAAAATTAGTTCAACATTGCGTTTTCAAGTCCCCAAATTTCGAACAAAGTTCAAAAAACGAAATTTAAGGTGATTCAATTCAACCATTGAAATTTCATTTTTTTTAAAACTTTGTTCGAAATTTGGGGACTTGAAAACGGAATTTTGAACTAATTTTGAACTTACCAAGATAATGTTGAGGAAAAGTAAGGGGAAATTGGCTCATTTCGCGAGAAAGTCGTATGACCTTTAAAATGACATATTTGGGGGTCCGAAACTCCCCCTTAAAATTAGTTTGAAGTAATTTCTGTGATTTTTACTTTAAAGTGCTTACAATCTGGTACATTTTCCCGTTTTATTTTTTCCTTTACAATAAATTGAACCGGAGATATGATTTTTTGAAAATAGGTCAAATTTGACCTTTGACCTATCGTAACTCAGTCAAAAATTAAGATGTTGATTTGCGGTTTGCGCCAAAATTCTTAGTTTTTTATGCTCTTTCTAATGATGTATCTCAAGATAGGGGTTACCATTTGAAAAAAAAAAGTTGGGGGCCCCCGCGCCACCCCTGAGGGGGGACAAAAATGTTGACCCCCCTAGAAGATGGACCACTTTAAGATAGAAATATTCCCAAAGTTTCGTTTTTCTATCTCTTACCGTTCAAAAGTTACGAGGTGGGAGTACGGACTTTTGGGACACCCTGTATAAAAAAACTCTAGTCATATTTTCAAAATCTGGATAGAGCAGGCTCCTCTGGAGACATTTGCCTGACGATAGTCGCAAAAATCATGAAAATCGACCCGGTAAAACACTGGAACAAAGCGTTACCAGGGATGCAAATTTAGGAGGTCTTGGAACGTGTAGCATAGATATTATAATTCGTAAGTCTGGTCGAGATGGAAAAGAATAGCCATGTATTTTTAATTGTACTAGCTGCTTCAGCTCGCTACGCTCGCTTGCGCCGCTAGCTGGTGGCTTCGCCCCCTGGACCCCCAGTCACTCGCTCCGCGAGTGAATGTTGGCTCGCGAAGCGAGCCAAATTTTGCTACTACGAGTAATTAGAGGACTTCCTGGAGGAAAAATGATAAATTCAAAAATGAAGAATAAGAAACTGATAATGATAACCACCTTCTTCTATAAAAAGAAACATCTTTGAAAAATAAAAAACACTCCTTGAAAAGAAAATCAAAACACTTTGTGAAAATTTAACGGTGCGAAAGGGTAAACATTAATTACCGATTCTCTTGGAAGAACACATGGGCCGCTGCAAAAAAGTTAATTATTAATAAAACCTGTAGTGCCGTTAAAAGGAAAATTATCTTCTGAAAAATACACACGAAAATTAAGTAATTTTCATGTAAAAAAAAACTATAATGATAAAATCAAGAAAGCAAAACTCTAGACGCACTACTGAGAAACCTGGACAAACCGAGAACTGTTTATGAGCAATGCGACGGAGGAAATGCGTAGTAGGTGTTCCGAGTCAGACGGCATAAGAAAGGGAGTGATACTGACAAAGGACCCATGCCAGAGCAGAAGGGTGACACGTACTAACGGCAGGTAGGGATGGGTTTACGTGGAGAGGGAAACGGAAAATCAGAGGGTGGGAGGTCCCCCAACCATATGATTCGTCCAGCGGCAAAGACGAAAATATTTCGTTATCAAATCGAGGTAAATTTTGCAACGTCGGTCGCGCAAATTGAAAAACTGAGGAATGTTGGCACGTCTACAGCCTAAGAGCTTTCATTTAAAACAAATCCGAGCAAAATCGGTCCAGTAGTTTCCGAGATCGAATTAGCACAAACTGTCCAACGTCAAAAACGCAAGCATGTCGTTATCAAATCAAATCGAGGTAAATTTTGCAACGTCGGTCGCGCAAATCGAAAAACTAAGGAATGTTAGCACGTCTACAGCCTAAGAGCTTTCATTTAAAACAAATCCGAGCAAAATCGGTCCAGTAGTTTCCGAGATCGAATTAGCACAATCTGTAGAGGCCAAAAAAAGCCTTAGGATATTAAATATATAGAAGATTTACCCAATATAATAATCATAATGTCTCTTTACATCGACGCAGATTATATTGGACATATTTTTTCCCTTCCAATTGAGACCCTCTCATCCAATGCGCCTTTTTTAATGTGAATGTGATGAATACGTAGGGGGGCGGGGGGCGGTCACCGTCCCCCCCCCTCTCAAAAAACGAAGATCATAACTTAAACAAAAATGCTTCAGCTCGCTATGCTTGCTTGCGCCACTAGCCGGTGACTTCGCCCCCTGGACCCCCAGTCACTGTTGGCTCACCAAGCGAGCCAAATTTTGCTACTAAAAGTAATTAGAGGACTTCCTGGGGGCAAAATAATAAATTCAAAAACAAAGAACTAATAATGATAACCACCTACTTCTAGGAAAAGAAATATCTTTGAAAGATAAAAAAACACTCCTGGGAAAGGAATTCAAAACACTTTGTGAAAATGTAACGGTGCGAAAAGGCGAAGACTAACTACCGATTCTCTTGGAAGAACGCATGAGCTACTGTAAGGAAGTTAATTATTAATAAAACCTGTGCTGCCGTAAAAAGGAAAATTATTTTCTGAAAATTACACATCAAAATTAAGTAATTTTAAGTAAAAAAAAACAAATGACAAAATCAAGAAAGCAAATCTCTAGCCGCACTAATAAGATACCTGGACAAACCGAGAACTGATTATGAACAATACGACGGAGGAAATGCGTAGCAGTTGTTCCGAGTTAGACAGCATAAGGAAGGGAGTGATACTGGCCATAGGACCCAAGTCAGAGTAGAAGGGTTACACGTGTTGTTAGCAGGTAGGGATGGGTTTACGTGGAGAGGGAAACGTGGAAATCAGAGGGTGGGAGGTCCCCGAACCATACGACTCGTCAAGAGACAAAAACGCAAATATTTCGTTATCAAATGGAGGTAAATTTTGCGACATCGGTCGCGCAAATCGGAAAAGCAAGGGGTGCTGGCGCATCTACAGCCTAAGAGCTTTCATTTAAAACAAATTCGAAGAAAATCGGTCCAATATTTTCCGAGATCGAATTAGCACAAACTGTCCAGCGGCAAAGACGCAAATATGTCGTTATCAAATCGAGGTAAATTTTGCGACATCGGTCGCGCAAATCGAAAAACCAACGGGTGCTGGCAAATCTACATCCTAAGAGCGTTCATTTAAAACAAATCCGAGGAAAATCGGTCCAGTAGTTTCCGAGATCGAATAAGCACAAACTGAAGGAGGACAGAAAAGCCTTAGGATATTAAATCTATAGATGATACTGAGGAAAAGTACAAAGATAGTGAAGACTGTTTGAATGAGCGCCGGCAACGCGCTCCGCCCGATGCGGTAAGGTCATATCGCCCTCCCTCTGTCTCCTCTCTCAATTGTGATAGATACGTCATCCAATACGTGAAAAAATGCAAAAATGTATCCTCTTTAAATTTTAATTCAAGTACTTTTTAAATCCGAGCTACCGGAAAAAAATTACAGAGCATTTTTTTAAAAAAAAAAAATTCTAAATTTTAAAATTTCAGTTTCTTCGGAAAACCCCAATTTTAAGTGGTCTTAAGATTCAAAACTGAAAAATATTAAAAAACGCTTTCCAGCCACAGTGGAAACGAAAGGTAGATTTCGACTAATCGTAAAAGTATGAGAGTCCAAAAAATATTTCACAGGGGAGCTGCTATTAATGTTGAAAAAAGTAAAGCCGAATTCTAGGATCTAACAGATATTTGAAGGACTGAGTGATCAAAATTTTATGACATGCCATACCGTTCTGGAATAGTGGATTACCTACTTTTTTTTAAAGCCTATCTTCAAGTTTTGTTTTTGAACCCCCGTTTTAAGTACGATAAAAGGTAAATTAATATCGACTGACTACCCATAGACTCATTCCTAGATTCAATGTATTTCGTCTAATTACTTACATGCATTGTCTCCATTGTTTGCAGGCAGCTGAAAAAATTGCAAGATCCATTGGCAATAAAATAGATATTGGGGTAGCGAACAGAATGATCGGAGAGGTTTTATGTTGTTTAGGTGAATTTGACCAAGCCATCGAACATCAGAAAAAGCATCTGGGTGAGTGCTTCTAACCTTTAAGTATGGGTTGTTTTCAGATCAAGGGACGGAAGTTAGAATTTTCGTAATCCTGTCTACAACTCTCCATGTAATATATCAATGTAGATGTGGTGGGAATGATCTCTCATCTCCATTCCTTAAAACTCAACGCAGGGCAAAATGAAAATTGTTTATGGTGAACAACACCAGCATCACCCTCCACTGTGGTTACGTCTTGAGTCGTATGAAGACTTTACAGCCTCAAATTAAGATGGATGTTATGAGCAGTTTTGTTTGTAGAAGAGCATTGAAACATTCTTATCAGCACATTTGTTTCTGTATTATAAGCTCTCAGGCCTCCTTAATGTTCATTTCTGGTAATGCTTAGCTTCAGCACTCTACTGGGTGAATTTTCATGATTTTTGGAGCTATCGACAGGTAATTGTCTCTAGATGAGCTCACTTTATTCAAATTTTGAAAATATGACCCAGATCTTGGTATGTTATGTTGTAAAGATGCGCATTCTCCCATTTAAACAATGTAAATTTTATATTTTTTTTTTTTTTGTTCGTTTATTTTAATTCGTTTGAGCATTCTACCAGGCCGATTCCCATGATTTTTGTGGCAATCAACAGGTGATGGTCTATAAATGAGCCCGCTTTAATCAGATTTTGGAAATAGGACCCAGGTTTTTTTTAGAATCACGTTATAAAAGTGAGCAAATTTGCAGAATGCTCCCCAACTGCTGCCCTGCTGCTGCGCGCAGAAGGTTGCGCAGTGGCCGAGTAGCCTGCGCATCAGCTGTAGCTCTAGATGCCGTACAAACACAAGATTCACCAAGTCACCGTCAGTTTTGGCGATAGCTGAGTGTCTGGGGTGTCAAGTGATTCTCCGCTTTGGCCCATAATGTGGGTTCCATTCTCCACGCCCGAAATAAACAATTATATCGTCAAATCATCTGTTGTTGTTGTACTACTATGGTTCATTAATCGATCCTAGCTAAATGCATCCTTTTGATTTCAGATACTTTTTCTTTATTTAACACAAACCAAAATCTTTTCTCCTAAAAAGCAATGTATACCTCATATCGTAACATTTTAGGGAAAAGAACTAACATTGATATAAAGGTAAAACAAAGGCCGCAAAGCAGCCGCTTGATGAAACAAAGCGCCTTCAGGGGGTTTGGCCGCGCAGCGGCCAGGGGGCGTAACCCTCTAGTAGGCAAGTAAAACCGATTACCACATCTCGGCCAATTTTTGTTCAAATAAATTGAATTTGGTCACATAAATCAACTGCATTTTACATCTTCTTTCAAATGAAACCAAGATAAGCTGGATAGGTTGTTTAGTTCTTATGTTAGAGCGTTAGTCCAGGTTCTTTGTAGACAGCTTATGTATGTAGATCTATCTCTTTATCTTCATGATCTAGAAATTGTACATCAATGTCTAATTTTCGATGATGTACTGAAGATGATGATATAAACTTATTGCATCACATTTGCCTCCTATTTTTCAATTGTCATGGTACCTAAGTAGATTTTCTTTTTAGATCTGTCTAAGGAAGAAAAAAATCTTGTCGAGGAACAAAGAGCACTCGCAACTTTGGGTAGAACTTACTTCGTGAAAGCAGAAAGCTACGCAGATGTTGATTCTGATGAGCGCAGTAGTGCTCTCTACTATTCTCAACAATACTACCAAGAAAGCCTCACCATCTGTGATAAGTATGTTTTTACTTCTCTTTCCTGCTTTGTCTCCTTGCAGGCCTTATGCAAAATTACTTTTTTGTTAAACTCTGCAAAGAAACTGCTCATTTGGATAGTCAGGAATACCTTTGCGCACCTTCTCGGGCTGGCAAAAGAACATCTTAAAACGAGAAAGAAACTTAGATTTTTCAAGAGCGTGGAAAGAATCGTGAGTATTTGTTGTTGTAGAGAAAAATTAGGTATCACTTTGCTCATGTAATTTTGCATGATTGTGTATGGAGGGAGGTTCGTGGGTTGAACGGAGCTTGAACCAAAAATTCAACAATTTTAACCAGGTTTTGGGGCCAGGCCACAGTGGATTGTAGGACGGTCGTTTGATTGCTTTAAAATGGGGTGGAAAAAAATAACTATTAATCTGGGAGAGCTGAATATCGGGATTTACTACAGAAATTTCACACTCGTAACTAGATGCAAAAAGGAAGAGAGTGGTAAACATGCAGGGAACACCTTACAATGAAAAAAGACCACTAAAATTAGGAAGCCTCTGTCAGATAAAGCCATCTATAAAGATTTGATGACATCACCAGCAGCAAGACACCATTCCTTCATGTAATTGGTCAGCTAAAATCTGTAGAGTTATTAATTGCAAGTCAAGTCCTTAAATGAATAGCTGATTCTGGTAGACAAGTGAAAATACGATTCGGAACGATGAAAACATAATAAATCCAGCAAGCACTAAGAATTGTTCTGAATTTGAATTTTTTTCTACTTTTTCCTGTTTCATTATGTTGTTCCTTTTTCTTTATTTTTTTATTTTTTCTCTATTTTTTCTTTCTTTTTCTCCTTTTTCTTTATTTTCTCTTTTTCCTTTATTTTTCTCTTTTTTCTTTATTTTCTCTTTTTCCTTTATTTTTCTCTTTTTTCTTTATTCTTTTCGTTTTTCTTTATTTTTCTCTTTTTTCTTCATTCTTTTCTTTATTTTTCTCTTTTTCATATTTTTCTCTTTTTCTTTCTACTTCTTCTTTCTTTCTTTTTCTTTCTTTCTCTTTTTACCTTCTAAAATCGTTCTTCAAGGCAAGATTTCTTAATTCAAAATTTCTGGAGAGGAATGCAAAAAAAAAATGACCGTAATTATTTCATTGTTGCATCAGATTAGAAAACTCTATTGGACACATGCAAGTAATGATAATGAAGGCACGTCTGTACATTAATTTAGGACTGACTTTAGAATCGGAGCAATCGGAGAAAAATTCAAACGAAGCTATTAAACTCTATGAGAAGGTAAGGCTATGTTTGTACATGTTATATTCTTGAATAATTATTTGAATATTCAAGTTTAAAAACTAGTTATCTACCTTGAAAGCAATTTAAAGCAATTTTACTAATCTTATTCCGGTGAAACTTGAGGTTGCACGGATTTTTTAACTGGAGAAGGTTGCTTAGGGAATCAAAAAATTTGAATTACACTGTCTTGGTTGCCTTAGATTCCCTAAAGCCCTCTGTGGTATTCCTAAGGAAGGGTTGTTGTTAATTTCTGTGCCTGGAAGTTGGTTTGTCCATCGTAATTCTGAAATTATCATTGAAAATCAAAAAGTATGCAGTTCCTATTTTAAATAAAGAGGGAATAATCACCAAAATCGGTTCTTCCTCCTTAATACAAAAGGCATTATTGAAGGAGCATTTAAGCTCCTCTACAGGATGGTCTCTATTTTTCACTTTTTTCATAATTTGCTGATCTCATATGGGCCGATCCTGTAATAAATGTTTCAAAGAACCCCGCACCATCCTTTTGCGAGTCTTTGGTGAAGTCATTCTGATCAAAAGCTCTTCTCGTCGAAAGGGATCCCATGTGCAGTTTTCGAGATATTCGCCGTTTTATGAGCGTGAACGGAGGTCCCGCCGGCCAGACCATTGTGCGGCACTACTCGTACCCTTCCCTTCCAGTCCATTCCGGCCCTCTCCGCTTCTCCACCACGCATACCCGAGGCTCGAACTCCGACGCTCACGGGGCCTTGCTTATCGTTACCGGCCCGGGTGGTCTCATCTGGGTAGTGAGCCTCGAGTAAGGGTGGCGGAGAAGCGGAGAGGGGCCGGAATGGACCGGAAGGGAAGGGCACGAGTAGCGCGGCACAATGATCCGGCCGACGAGACCTCCGTTCACGCTCAAAAAATGGCGAATATCTCGGAAACTGCACATGGGATCTCCTTTGGCCCGTGCTTTGATGAGAGCTTTTGATCAGAATAACTAGCTGAGCAACATATCAAAGTTTCATCAGAATTGACCGGGGAGTGCAGGGGGGGGACTTCCCATAAGGATGGTGCGAGGTTCTTTGCGAGTTCTGAACGAGGGAAAAATATTTTTGAAAAGAAAAAATTCTCAATGGACTGTTATGAGATTAAGCTGCAGCAGCAATTCAGGAAATCGTGCTTTCAAACCGATTCACCCTATTTTGAGCATGCTTTTTCAGTTCTAGACCTGTTAAATTGGAGACTTAGGCACACTTTTTTACGTATTTTTATGTGATAGCAATGCTCTTCCCCTCAGATGGTTAGAAAATGAAATACTCTGCCAAAAGAGGGGCCAAATGAAAAATATTATATTTACTGGATTTCAATGATAAACCTTAAAGACCTTTTTTGGTTACATTTTGAAGCTCCTCAGAAATATGTATCAACTCAAAAGTTTTCATTTTTTCTTTTTCCTTTTTTAATTTTTACACAATTTTTACTCAAGAGCTGATTAGTTGCGGTAGTTAAGTACATGTCATGAATGAACCTCAACAGTAAGAAAATAGATTTTTATTTCTATTAAAAACTAACTAAAACAGCTTAGAAGATGCTTTTTAGCAATGTTTAATTCCTGCATTTTTGAAAACTAAATAGCACTGAGCTCACAGTTATTTTTCCCGATTTTTTTTAACAATATCAACTCACGAAAACGAGCTCAAAGTTGCGTATTTTGAGCTCCCATTGAAACGCGCGTCGGTGGGTCACTGAAAGTAGCCGCCGTGAGCGTCTGACGGCGAATGGCCACACTCGGCGACTTACCTCTGCTATGTCTTATAGCCCGCATTGCCCGCACATGGGCTATTGTTCCAAAAAATCGGGGCAAATTCCTGTGAGCTATCTGCACTAGCTAGTTTTCAAAAATGCAGTGATTAATTTTTAATTTTTTTTTATTTTGCAGTTGGTACCTTTACTCCCCTTTGGGGAGTGTACAAGTCGTTCCAACTTTCCAACATTCAATTTTACAATATACAATTATAACAATCAACGTTACATTGATTTTAACAATCTTTGGCTAACATTCTGCCTTTAAAATTCGACCAAAGGACTACGTGCAAAACGGGTCATTTGGGGCTCGGGGCGGATACCTTTGAGACTTGCCCTATTCATTCACCTAACAATGCCCCATCTTTTCCCAAAGTTTCAAGCCCCCCAAAAATTTTGGGGAGACGCGGCTAGGGGTCAAAGTTAAAAACCGGCAAAATTTTCGCGAATTTATTACTCGAAAACCAAGAAGTTTTCGTAAACGCGGTTTAAACGAGCGTATTCAGCGTGACGAGAGCTTTCAAAAAATGTATAACATCATAGGGTTTTGTCAACTTCAGCTCGAGTTATCGCCTCCGAAGCGCCGGAACGCTCAAAAGAGACCCCTTATTTTTTCACGTTTGGGCCGATTTAAAAAAAAGCCATTTTTTTAATTTCATGAAAAACTGATATGTTGTTCCTGACTCTCTGTAGCCCCTTTAGCTCTTTACCGCATGCTGGGGAAATGTTTTGGTCGCGAGTTATAAGAGCGGAAAGGAGGGAAGGTCGGGAAAATTGGCTATTTTAAACTGCGCTCGCGGCGTTGATCGGAGGGAAAACGTCCCCTCCCACTCATTTCGGTGAATCACACTCCTCTGCCGACCTCGCATAGTTGCCACATGGCTCCTGATCCGTCGCCGCGCGCAGTTTAAAATAGCCAATTTTCCCGACCTTCGCTCCTTTCCGCTCTTATAACTCGCGACCAAAACATTTCCCCAGCATGCGGTAAAGAGCTAGAGGGGCTACAGAGAGTCAGGAACAACATATCAGTTTTTCATGAAATTAAAAAAATGGCTTTTTTTAGATCGGCCCAAACGTGAAAAAATAAGGGGTCTCTTTTGAGCGTTCCGGCGCTTCGGAGGCGATAACTTGAGCTGAAGTTGACAAGACCCTATGATGTTATACATTTTCTGAAAGCTCTCGTCACGCTGAATACGCTCGTTTAAACCGCGTTTACGAAAACTTCTTGGTTTTCGAGTAATAAATTCGCGAAAATTTTGCCGGTTTTTAACTTTGACCCCCCGCCGCGTCTCCCCAAAATTTTTGGGGGGCTTGAAACTTTGGGAAAGGATGGGGCATTGTTAGGTGAATGAATAGGGCAAGTCTCAAAGGTATCCGCCCCGAGCCCCAAATGGCCCGTTTTGCACGTAGTCCTTTTACAAAAAAAAAAAAACAAACCACAGTGTCAATTAAGAGGGCAAACATATGAAGATGAAAGAGGCGATGGATTAAGGCTTAAAATTTGATAGATCAGCAACATGGTAGAATGCACTCTGCAGGACCAAAGCTCTCTGGCTGAGAAGGAGGAAGTTAATTTCTTCCCTTTTAAGCAATTTTAACATTTCAGAAGGAAGAGCATTAAGGAGCTGAACTGATGCTGCTCATATATTAGATTTCGAAATCGAGTAGGTGAGCTTTTCAGGAGTTATGAAATTGTGCCTGGTATCATGGCTATGTGAGGGGGATAACTCATTGAGATCAACTACTTTATTAAATATAGCATACTTTAAAGTTTCATAGATGTAAGGAGATGGCAAAGTAAATAATTTATTCTGTTAGAAGACATATGTATTTACAGGAGTAGTCAAAGAGGAGATTAAACAATATTCTGAATATTTTCTCTGCTCGATAAACAAACTTTCTGAGTGAGAGTTCCTCAGAGGATGATCACATATCTCAGACGAGGTACGAATTGCCTTTGAATGATGATATATTAGCGCCACATCTTTATGTTACCTTCACAAGATTTCTTGAGGCCCACTTATCATTTTGTACTTTACTAATAGCATTATGAATGTGGGTCTTCCAATTGAAATGCTGATCTAAGTAGACCCCTAGAAACTTCGTCATGGCACTCAGATCTAGGCAGAGGGAATTATTCAATTTAATTGTTTGCACTGTTGGATCTGTCAGAGCGGATGGTGTATTATACAGTGCCTGTAACTTCTCTGCATTCAGCCTTAATCCATTCACTTTAAACCAATGGCTAACATGAAAGAAAGCTCTTTCAGCATCTGCCAACGCTTCATCGCCGATTAGAACTACTGAGGTATCATCCGCAAATAGGTAGGTTCGAAAGTCTGCATATTGAAGCAAGTCAGTTTTAAAAATATTGAATAAAAGTGGGCCCAGGATCGAGCCTTGCGGCACTCCTGTTTTTACCATACGAGTTGAAGAGAAGACTTCCTCACTGCTAATTTAATTTTACTACTAGTATTAATTTTTACTACTTGCTTTCTATTTGTAACATATGGCGTCATGAGTTTGATTGCCTGTTTGTTTAGTCCGTAGAATGCCCCTTTAATAAGAGTTGGTTATTAATAGAGTCTAAAGCTAGAGCAAGGTCAAAGAAGAGTACCTGTATAGCGAGAGTATGGACAGATCGCTTCATGGAGGTCTTAGAGCCCAAAAGTGCAGCCATCCTTCTAACCAACTTCTAACATACAAAATTTCACTGTCAATGCAGAATCTGCAAATTCAAAATCTAACCAAGACGGCCAAGAATGTACAGAAATGAGCGTTCTTCCGCAAAAATGAGTAAATTTATGCAATAACTGAGTCAAATACGTGCTTTATAAACGACGGTTCGTAACAACAGTATCAGTTAATCGTCCTGGATAATTGAAATTCATAGGTTGACTGCATTTCTGGGCCCTAAATCTAAAATTTTTCGGTCAGATTTTTTGAAGTCTAAAAATCCATGATGGCGGACGTGGCCTATAATGGTATTTTTGCTCTTGCATGATAGATTTTAGTGAAACTCGGTTTGAGTGGGTATCATTTGAGAAGAAACGCGAACTTCGTGTTAAATTTTCAAAATCCCGAATTCCATGATGGCCACCGTGGCCTAAAAGTCTTTCTTGGCTGCTGTTTAATGAATTATTGTGCAAAGATGAAGATGATGTTGTCTTCTTATTAAAGTTAAAAGCCATGAGGGCCGGCTCGTGGAGCGAGTCGCAAGTTCATCGCGA